CAGAGCCAGAAAACCGAGGTGTAGTTAAAGCAGAAAACCTTAAGTTTGCTACACTTTTGACAAACTCCGTGGTATTTATTTACATGAGGAACAAAAGGAAAAGGGTTGCAGATTTATGGAGATTAGGTTGCAGAAGTGCTGCAGCTGAGAATGAATCCTCCAATCCTCCTGGGCAATGAGAGGAGGTGAAAATCTGATGCCCCGTGGGCTGCATTACAATTCTCCTTCCTGATACAGGACTTAAAAATAATAATAAAAATAAATAAATCAAAACATGTTGCATTGCTTATGGTGGTGATTCTTGAACCAATTATCCATAAGTATGCAAAAAGCACATTATTATTAGTATCTTATTTGCATGCCTATTGGGCAATGTGATTAATGGGATAAATTAAACAAACCAATAGATTAATCTAATGGACTTTTAGTGCAAAGCTTGTGTAAAAGTTGTAAAGTCAATTAACCAGAGTTGCTCGGGGCCTTTTTTAGTGTGTGTTTGTGTGTGCACACAAACAAACAAAAGCATAACTAATCGATCAGGTCGATAACCTGCATGTTGCATGCTGGGTTTAATATCCCAAGTTTTGTCATGCAGATCAGGCAGATCATGCAGCTTGATCTGTTCTATTAAACTGTTTCCAAAAGAATTACGGCGAACACTGTGTGAGCCATAAAACTGATTTGCTCTCATCTTCAGGCTTGCTATAATCCTGCTAAAATGTACTTTGTATTTATCTGACTATGATGGCCTGAGGATCAATTTAACACCTACAAGCTGTCCATATTTGACCCCGCTGCCAACTATTTTTCCAAGTTGATGTCAAAAGTTTCAGAGAAGTATTGATTTTAGATCACTGTAGAATTAGGAGCCGAGCACATTTTGAATTATATATGGCATCTGGAAGTTGCATAAAGCAAAATGGAATCACATACTTTGTCATTAAAAGAACAATGCTGTGTGGTTATCCTAGTTGTATTAGGGTGAAACATGGGGTACCAATCCTGACAAACATTTACTCTGGGCTTTTCAAAATAAAAAGACTGATCAGACCCTAAAATTCAAACCTTCATCCAATTTAAAATAAGCATCTGACTATAGGGGCGTCTGTGACTGAGTGCTTAAAGTAGTCGTCCTCCAATGTAAGAGTTGGGGGTTCAAATCCACCAGCAGTCACATGGCAAAGTGTCCCTGGGCAAGACACCAAAACCCTCTTTGCCTTCGATGCGTGTCCCATTTGTGTATGAATGTAATCTAAAAAGCACTGATTAGTCTCTTTAGAATATTTTGTTCAATTAGCTTTAGAGATTTAGTGGAGTGCTGTATGGATGAGTAAATGACGGCATGGATTGTGTTGTAAAGCACTTTGAGTGTCTTGATAAGATAGAAAGGTGCTACCGTCCATGTCACACTGTCGTATGAGTCACATCAGTCCAAATATGTGTAATAAAAGTGGAAAAAACAAAATGTTGCTTCGCCAGATCAGTCACATCTATTATGTCACTGCTGATGCGTTGCTTTTGTTACGAGTCACTGCTAACAACCTGGAAATGTGGGCTGGTGTTCCAAAAATCAAATGGCTGCCTAATGGCTGCAGCAGGAGCATACAAGGGAGGACTTTAACAAGATTTTAACAAGATTAACACTTAAAAACAATATGCGTTTGCTCAAAATTATAGCAAAGGTGTGTCTCAGTTTAACTTGTCCTTAATAAATGCATTTTGACGGTCAGATCGACTGCATTTTGACTGAGCGGTGCGGCAAGATCAACTCAGAGTTGCTGATACGCTTTGTACACAGAGTTCAATTCAGAGTCAACCACACTACAACAATGTTCAGAACCAAGAGGAAATGTTCATGGAAAAAAAGGGTGTGGCACTGGATCACTGAAGCTTTTATGCAGTCCACTGATGAGGAGGAAGTGATTCCAGGTGTGCAGCACGGTGATACAGCAGGCCTGTAAACAAGCTAAGGAGGAGAAAGGATGTCCTCTAGTAAGAGAACCCCTACAAATCGGTGGATGTAATAATACCATTAAAGAAACAAGATGATTTTTGGTTTGTGAGATCATAAATTTGTATTCATTGAAAGTCTTATATCAAAAACAAACCAAATAGCTGAGAAAAATAGAACAGGTTCACAGATGGGATATGTTGAGCTGAGTGAAACATTGCTGCTTCTTTAATGACCTTGGTCCCATCATTTTAATTATAAAATGAGAGGAAAAGAAAACTCAATAACTGTTTTTAAAATACTACATTTAAAATATAGAGTTAAGTCGTTGTGGTTTAGCTTCTGTACATGCATGTTTGTACATTTTTAATAAATATATATTCAATTGTGTTTTTTTAATCTTTTACGTTTATTTGAGTTTTTACTTGTTTACATCATACTTATTTTTTGTCCCAAAATGTAAAAACGGCAAATGCTGAAATTCAAATAATATGTTTTAGTTTTAAAATGTCACCCCCACAGGTCAGGGGTCTGCAACCTTTTTGATTAAAGAGCCATTTCTGCACCTTTGATCAGTAATGATCCAGGTCTGTCTTGTAAATGAGTCCTCGTGGCTCAATGGGTCTAACCTGTTTAAATAAAAGTTGAATGAATTAAATAAAGAGCCGAAGCCACGAAATCTGCTACAACCGTGATGATCAACTGGTGGCCCAAGGGCCACTTTGAGTTAGTTGGAGAGGCTTCTCTTACCTAAATGAACTGCCTGGACCTAATATATTGTATTTTCCAGCATATAAGTTGCAGTTTTTTGCATAGATTTTGTCCGTCCTGCAACTTGTACGCTGAAGCAACTTGTGTTTTTATTTTTTTTCCATATTCATAAAAACAATTATTGACTGACAATATAAATTTCAAAGAACTGGAACAGCGAGTCCTCCTGTGCGCCCTTGCTTCACTTAGCTGGTGCAGGCGGAAAAACGCTGGAGAGCTAGCGGCTCCGGCCACCAGCTCTCGATCAATGAGATCCATCGATCTATCGGCCATCGATGGATCGAGATAGATGGATGGATGGATGGAAACGCACCACCCAGACAAAATGAAGCTGTTTTGACCATTAAATAAACTCGCAAAAAATGTGACGGTTCAACAGTGACTCATAATAAATGTGACTTAAACGCCAAAGAGACTTTTTTTTTTCCTTTCTCTTCATGATGCTTCTTTTGACTGATGTGACTTATACTTCGGAAAATACGGGAGACCTATTTAGGATAGCATCAGTCATTCAACCTTTATTTAGACAGATACGTCACAATGAGCCTAAAAGACTCATTTACAAGTGAGATCTGTTTAGACAGAAAAAAGTAGTGAAACTGGACAAATACAGGAATTGGAGGTGAAAAAATTCCTATCAGACTTTTTTTATTCGCTGAGAAGAAAAACTCTAATATTAAAAAACACCTCGCACAAACAAGCACATAGTGACGTAGACATTCTGCAGAGGGGGGAGACGACGAGAGCGGTGAGCAAAGTCCATGGTCGCTCTCGAGAGCACTGTGTGTTCTGATAAGGATGGAATAATCAACCAGTTCCCTCCGGTGAGATCCGTAAACATTCTCGAGGGATGTCGGGGAATGGCCAAGGACAACAAGGGCAAATCGGCTCACCTAAAGCCTGTCTTCTCTTCGAAGAAATGTTATCAATTGTCTTAAGGGACCAACGGATCAAATCAAGTCCATAATTATAGTTCGGAAGAAATGCAGGAGAGGCTCAGAAGCGGTTTCACAGACAGACAGAGCAGCAAAGCAAAGCGGAGAGGGCGAGGAGGGGAAAAGTGTCCGACCTCGGCAAGAGCAAGTGGTGAAGTGTTAGCAGCATCTGTTAAAGTCTAGCTGGTGACTTAATATTGTGAGAAAGTGTGAAAACTTCATATTACAATCCAACTGATTTCAGAATATTTGGAACTAAGTGAACAGTAAACAGTGTGTTGAAAGTTTAGGCGGCCTGTTCTCATCGGTGTAGTCTCTTCCTAAAGATGTTCATCTACAGTATATATCATGAATGTGGTCTAAAAAAGCCCATATGACAATCTGCAAAACAATTCCCCCAGCAAACACAACTTTTGTATTAAATGTTGTTAATCAGTTAGTGTTGCTTAAAAAGGTGACAATGTGGTATGTGCTCACAGAAATAGAAATAATAAACCACATAGCCTCTTTCCATCTGTCCTGCTAGTCAAACTACACTAGGACAAGTGGGAATTACATGCTTTACTTGTTGTGCAATATTATAAATTTATGTGACATGTTTATGGGTGTAATTTTAGAGCAGTGTGCAAATTACTCAACAGAAGTGAATTAAATTAAATAGACTGTGTAAAACTCCATTTTTAATCAATTCCTAGTTGCTTTTTGTTTGATTTGAGAGGGAAAAATGTCAACTAATAAACATAAATGTATCCCATGTGATGTGAGTAATGATATTCATAGGAGCTGGAAATTGGTGATTGAAACCTATTATATCCAGCAGACTGTGTATTTTTTTTTATCTTTAAGAGCAAAGTGAATTCTAAGATTTCAAGTAATTTTCCTGTTGGATTTATAAGGCTTTCTTTTGTCTTTCTCTGTCTGTTTCATTCTTTATTTCTCACCCTCTGATACATTTCATCCTTGTGGTACTGCTTTTTCCCATTACTGTCCAACCTACCATTCCTTTCCTTATCATTGCATTCCAACGCTGCTTTTCGCTGCTTTTGTTTCTCCACAATATTCTTCAATCCAAAATCCACTCTGTTTTATCTCTCCTCCAACACCTCCACTCTTTGGTAAAACCTTGACACTAACTTTTTCCACCCACCTCATCATTATTGGTAATCACTTGCACCACAATTTTTATCTCTACCTTTTAAAATGTGTTTCTATTTACTTAATCCCATTTTGGGGACAATTTGCATTTTCTTTTCCAAATTCGATTTTGATTTTTCTGTTTACACTGCATCTCAACCTCCCAACCTTTTTTTTCTTTCTCCGTCATCCCATTTAAATTCTCACAGAATCCTCTTCATTTCCAAATGGCCATGGAAATTGTAGAAGCCCCACCGTCACATCTCCTCTACTACCTGCTGATGATGAATGGCTGGTGGGACATCAGCGTCGTGCTCTGCCAGGAGTGGAATATTACTGATTTCCTTGTCCTCATCAAGAACAACACCCGCTTCCACCTGGGCGCTCTTGTCAACCTGACAAAAACACCACTGCCGCCGTCTTCATCTTCATTATCTTCCTCAGCGGTGGCACTGGGCATCCCTCTGGGAGCAGAAGCCTTACCTTTACCATATTTATTACCTACTGCTTCATCCTACTCATCCAATTCCTCTTCTAAATCTGACCAGCAGCAGGTTCTCATGCGGCAGCTGGAGGCCCTGAAAGATCAGTCATCAACGACAGGAGTTGTGACGTTTGGCTGTGACATCCGTGAGGTGCGCCGTTTGTGGACGCTGGCCACTCGGATGACACTCCCGGAATTTCACTGGGTCTTGGGGGACAGCCAGAACGTGGCTGAGCTTAGGACAGAGGGGCTACCCCTTGGGCTACTCGCCCATGGGGTCATGGGTTCACCTTATTTTGATCACTACGTCCAGGACTCACTGGAGCTTATTACACGTGCAGTGGGCAGTGCAGCCCAGGAAAATCCCTCAATGGCACTCATACCTGGAACTACAAACTGTATGGACACACAACAGAGCAACAGCAGCTCAGGGGAATTCTTAGCAAGGTAAGACATTACTTTATGCAATGACCTTAAAGCCTGGGTTTATGTCTATTATTAATGATCACCCTTTAGCACCATAATGGTAACTCAATATATTATTTCTGCATGACATTATATACGAAACATTGATGTTAATAGAGAGCACACAAACAAATGTGAAACAGCAGTGAAGGAGATAAGTAAAAAAAAAAAAAACATCTGAAACACATTTTACCAGATTATTTTATATATACATATATATATAAATCAAGGCTACTTTGGCTGGTTTATTTTTATCTCCTTCCAGCTGCCACCATTCAGTGTTTTGCATTTATCAAACCTACACTTTCACGACAGACTGTGCATGATTCAGCCTGCTACTATAGTGTCTAAACAGTGTGAAAAGGAATTGTCCAAGCATTCAGGTTGAAAATGATTATCTGCTGAGGTGGAGGAGTGTGGTGGAATTTTATCTGCTTTATTTTTTTTTCTTCTAGCTGTTGATTATTATGCGAGTATTGTGCAAATGGCAGAATAGTGCATTCTATCCCATCAGAAGCATGTTAATGACCCTGTGAAAGCAAAGGATTTACCTGATTAGATTTAGTTTCCTGTGTGGTATACTGGGTCTAATCTGAGCTGTTTCTCACACACAGACAATGTGGAAAAGCCTGTCAGGTGCTCAGTTCAAGAGAATCTGTGTGGATAGAATGATGTGATAGATTTTAAGCAGCTGTGGCTGTAGACATGCTTTTATTTGTATATGACATTCAAAGATAAAGGGTTTTCTTCTACAAATGTTGCATTCATGTTACAGGAAGTCAATAGGAGTTCAGTTATTGCCTTTACCCATTGTCGGTCTATCTTATTTAGATATAATGTAAATAGATATAGGACTGAAAGCCAGAAGTTGAAGCAAAAAAGGAGGAGCAACTCCTTATGGCTGGCTGTACTGCAATTTCCACATACAGTCTGCCCCTGAAAACAACTAAAACCTTCAAATAAAAATGTATTTTCAGATAGTTTTGTTCAGATGTTGGAAATTATTAAAGTTGTTTAGCTTTTGTCTTACATCCACTGATTTCTAGGGAATCTCTTAGTAGAGAACAAGCTTACTCCTCCTTTGGTCTAGGAGTATGATTCTTGCTTGGGGTGTGAAAGGTCCTTGGTTCAGATCCCGGACGAGCCCCCAATTATGTTACGACCCTTGGACTGAGTCTAGGAGGCACAGAGTGTAATACAAATTGTAAACAAAACAAAAACTTGAGAAGAAAAAAACAAACAATTTAGCATTACAATAATTTATTCATTTAAGAGTTTTGGGCATTAATGAACAAAAGGGAAGCCATGAACTTCAGGGTATCCAAGGCCAAAGCAACAAACAAAAGAATGCCCCTTCTGGCTAGAAAATAAAATCACCTGCTTATCTAACAAAACAAAAACTACAATTCCTAAGCTCCCCGGATGGCCACAAAACAGGAGAAAAGTTAGTTAAAATAAAATGGCGGAGAACCTCTACCAAACTTCCCATCTAAACAAAGCTTCCTAAATAGTAAAGTTCACAAGATATCACAAATATCTTGGTTGCTAAACCTTATTGTACAAAGGGTTAAGTTCAAAGTCAACCACACTACAACAATGCTCAGAACCCAGTAGAAATGCCCAAGGAAAAAGGGGCGTGGCTCTGGAAGCTCTTATGCAGTCCACTGATGAGGATGAAGTGATTTCAGGTGTGCAGAATGGTGAGACAGCATGGTGTGACAGCAGGCCTGTAAACAAGCAAAGGAGGAGAAAGGTTGTTCTCTAGTAAGAGAACCCCTAGAAATCAGTGGACGTAACATCTTGCCTTACTGCTGCATGTTTAAACATGCATTTGTCTAATGTGTTTAGTTTCAGATAGTTATTTGGGCTTAAACTGTCAAGCTTGTGGTTGACAATGTGTCACACTGTTAGTGAAATGTAAGGGTGTGTTGGCAGGACTTTTCTATCAAATGTGCAACGCCATGTCTCCAGTCTGTAGACACTGGCTCTAAAATTACAAATAGGCAGCACTCAAAACAAAGATTTTGTCTTCAGTTCTGAACAACGGGAGGAAACTAAGCATTGTCATTTTTTTCATTATTTATAGTTTTATTTATTTAGGCCACAGACATGAGGTTTGCTGGATCAGGGTCATAATCTCTAGTTTTACTTGGCATAGTCTGGCAGCAAAGCTGTTTGATTAGTTTTTATTTTCCAAATTTGATTTGTATAGTCTTTTATCTGACTCTCCAGGCTGGATGGTTTATTAGAGCTTCTTTCAGCTTTTTTTCTGTTTGCATTCTAGCCTATGGTCCTTGTGAATTTTAAATGTGGTACCATCTGCAAAGAGGGACGTCATTTGTTTATTTCCAAAGTGAACCAAGCTCACAAACAGTATTTGTCTTGCTGCATTGTTTCCCATATAATTAATGTTATTTTTTTTTCCCTTCATCACATCTTCCCTGTTCTTTGTTTAAATATCAAAATAAAACAAACTTTTTTTTCTCTCTCTTAAATTTCCTTAAAAATTACATTTTCCACCCTTGTATATTTTCCCTCTTTACTTACTGCTGTCTGGATGATATTCTATTTGACAAATAATTATATAGACACATTACTAAACATCCTTTCTATCATATTATTCCCTAAAAGTAAAGCTGGCTTAGTATCTGGAGATGGCCTGAGGGACAATGATGGATATGAATAAGATGAGGTTGTGGCAAAAGTCAGACTTTATTTTAAAAGTAATTTTGACTTCACTAGCCTCAGGACTGTTGGATGTTGGGACCAAAGAAAAGTCAAAGATATAATAAAAGTTCATTATTGCTTTTTAATGGTGCTTTTACAATAATAATAAAAAGGACTTACTGACTTGTGCACTTCATCTGAGCATATGCTATTGTGTGTACGCTTATACACACAGATTTCATAATAAACACACAAAAAGATTAAAAAAATGATGCAATTAGCAGATGTTAATAACATATTTAAGTTTTAGCAGCAGAAAAAAACTACATTGAAAAAAAATCAATCTGAATTACAAAAGCATTACAAGACCGGGTCAGCCCTTTTAAAAACATCATTAACATATTAATGGCTGCAGATTAGGGGTGCACCGATAAATCAGCCCTGATTTCCTTAATTTTGGAAAATCGGCCGATATTTGCACGATAAACCGGTTTTACCGATTTTTTTGTTTGTTTGTTTTAACAACAATTGTCTGAACTTCATTTATAATTCGGAGAACTGCCTCATGGCCAGTTAAAAAAAGTTTGTATTGTTTCTAGGATGTTGTTTAAAGGTATGTTTTTTCAATAAAATAAGACTGGAAAAATGAAGGTGCATTGTGACCGTATAGTACCTGACAGTGTTGCTTATAAAAGAAAATCGGTATCGGCCAAAATCGGAATTGCGTGGTTCGACTTTTCAGAAATTGGTGATAGGCCAGAAAACTGCAATCAGTGCACCCCTACTGCAGATGTACTTTGCTGAACTTCAAATCCATCTTTGATACCATGAGCATTATTTTAAATAGTCCGAGGCACAAGATGAACATTTTCAGGATTTTCTGTCCGGCTAGTGTAACAAAGAGTTTATTGTATTTTAAGTATTGCAAACTGTTCTTGTGGAATGTGGTGTCCCACAGGGGTCATTGCTTGGCCCAGTCTGTTTGCCTTTTAGTTTCTTCACATAAACCATTCTAAAGTCTTGTATTTGCTCCATTCATCTGCTAATACACATGCATATTCATTTGCTTGTTCGCTCTTTAAATCTGGTGTAAACTAATACATTTTCTTGACATAAATGAAATCAAACATTGGCTTCCACAAAGCCTTCTGAGAAACAAATTAATTGGACAAAGAATTATATAGTTGTCACTCAGCAGATGGCAAAAACGACCTCATTTTGTTGTTGCGTGATGGAATAAATTAAGTCCCAGTGATAATGGGTTTGATTTCACTTTAGACTTTGAGCACCATATCAAACGCGTGTGCTGTCTGAATTTTACCAACTCACATGATTTTAGAAATGAATCATTAATGTTGTTTAACCGCAGAGATCAAACTGCACCCTATAAATTCTTCACACCGAGATTAGTGCAGCAGCAGGTGCTCTTGTTATGAGAGATGGCGTGTCTTTTTCTTCCAAACCCAAGGTAACAGGAAAGGTTTTTTTTCTTCTAATACCTCTTACATAATATGTGTACAGGCATTACAGAACAAAACAATCCACCACCTGTTCAGAGCTCTTCTGTCTTCTTCAAACACATGTGCTATCAAGAAATAGCTTTGATTTATTTGTATCCTTTGACTATCTTTTTTAGAGTTTTTCTAAACTAATAAACTTCAGTTTGGCCTCCACCATTCCTGATAGCAGTTATTTATTAATTGTATTGTGAACTGAGGAAATGAAGAGTTCAAAATATATAGTTATTTTCATAGCACATCTGAGAGCCACTTAAATGAACCCAGGACTGCCATCTGAAATGTAATCACCTTTTTTATATCCCCTTTACTGGTTATGGACAACCATAGTTCTGATAAACTAATTAAGGTCTGACAGTTTGGTAAAAGTTATCTTTTAGATTAATTATCATGGGATATATGTTTTTGTTGTAGTGGTACTGAGCAAAATGCTAAACATTAACATAGCCTTAGTTGTCAACAGTATTTTTTTTGTCATTAACTTCAAGTCTTTAAGAGAATAGTAAAATCTATATTTTATTCATAAAATTCAAAACACTGACAATCAAGTGTTTTAAGTCATCAAGATAAGTATTTTTTATTTCAAAGTGGGGACTGGGGGTGCTAGGGGGGGCTCATAAAGCTGGAGAGAAGATAAAAGAAAAAAGCAACAAATAAAAAAATGAATAAAAAAAATGTTTAATTCATTTTTTTTTTTTTTTTTTTAATTACTGGAATAAAATCAAATCAATTTTTCAATAAATATTTCAAAATATATTTTATAATAATATATTGAAATATTTTTCACCAGGCTGCCAC